TGTAAATATAATATAATTTAAACATTGTTAATTATTTAGTTTAGAATTTAGAATTAAAATTAAAATTAAATTAGAATTTTAACTAGATTTTTTAGATTCTTTTTATTATTAATAGATTTAGAATTATTTTTATTAAGTTAGAAATAGAGTAGACTTTTAATTAGAATTTCTATTTAAAATTATAATTAGATTTGTTTTTTTTTTAATATTAATTAAGTTAGAATTAGAGTTAATATATTAGTTAAAATTATTATTAATCAATAACATAAATATTAATAATTAATTAAATAGGAAAATTATAAAAAAAAAAGGAAAATTGGAATTGAGAGTAAACACGGGTGAGAATTGCAATTGGGGTTGGATTGGGAATATAAAGGGTGGATCACTGTTCCTCTTCCTCAAAAAAAAAACCCAGCCGCCACGACAACCCTTCATTACCCTTCTTCTCTCTGCTCCAAACTCATTTTCATAATCATAAAACAACACCCTCAAACTTATACTCTCATAAACCTTCTTCTTTCTCTAAAACAACAACAAGAACTTCGTTTTCGATTTTACGGCGAGATAACTTTTCAACAAACATTAACCGCGTGAAACACCAACAACACTCTCATTATCCTTTCCGGATTTGTTCATAATAGCTAAAGGAGTGCATAGATCTTCATGAATCATTCACAAATTTCTATTGTGTGTTCTATTTGCAGGGTGAAACTTAGTCTTGGTTCTAACAGCTGTATTTTGAAGCATACAATAGAGCGATAGATGCGCAACCATCATGTGTACAACCATGGCATGTTTAAAGCTCCGATCATCTCTTTTTCCAATAACAATGAATCATTGGCGGTAATGATTTGAATGAATTTTTTCTGTTATGTTTGTTGCTCCAATATTTTTGAATGCACACACTACCATTGATCTCTATTTATAATTTTATTGTGTGATTTTTGTGAAGTTTTTGTTTGATGCTTTTAGTGTACATTCATTGTTATGGTATCTTGGATATTAACACTCCTTAGACATGGATGTTCAACTCTAATAATAGGTTTTATGATGTCTGTTGGTAGCTTAAAGAGACCATTAGAATTTGAGGCATATGACTTTGTTTATGTGCTCACAAATTCATATTCTTAGTTGTTTTAATAGTTGTTTGTGACAAAGTTACAATATTATATGTTCTTCTATATATGAAACCATTTTCACTATGCAGGGTGTTCTCTGTTGAAAGTAATTTCTCGTCACTACATGCGCAAACTTATCGCATTTGATTCTTGTTTGTATAATGTATTATCAATTTCATTACTATAGTTAATATTTTTAATTTATGTCTTATATATAATCTTTTCTGTTAAACTCTTTAATCAAAATAATAAGGGGATAATTTTTGTACTAATTTTTTAAACTTTTGTGGGCTGAATCTTTTTCTTGTTTATTTATTAATTAAGACTTTGTTTTATTTTTTCTCTAATTAATATTTTACTTATTCTTTTTTTTAAGAAGGTGGTTTGAGTATCATCTATTTGATGGGTTTATTTAACATGTTAACTTGAAAATGTATTTCCTTTTTGCACCTCCTATCATGATATGAGCTTTGTAAATATTGTAATTAAAGTATGTGGTAATATTGTGGTTGTTGCATTTTATTTCATTGAATTTAAATTGGATTTCTAAATTCATGGATTCAGTAATTTGATATCATTATGCTAAAAAATTCTTACACATTAAATTGAAATTTTGCCGCGTTATGACAATATGTACAACACTTTAACTACGTGGTTGTCATGTATAAACCGACTTTGAATGATAAACTCGATTCGATTTATTCTATGTGCTCAATCTCATTTTGTACTATCCCCATTCGATAAAGATGTACCCTCACTCCCGAAATGTAATAATTTTGAACACTTTTTTTTTTGTTTATGCTTTAATGCTTTAAAATCCTTTTTAAAAATAAATTCTCGATTAGTCGAGACATTTTCCACCCTTGTAAGTCGAGTGCTTTCAAAGCCTCGCCATCAACCTTTTGGTCACAGACACAACATTTTAAAGCTTAATCCTGGGCTTCCTTACAGTGATACCTATTTGATCAATTATTTCTAACTGGTCACTTAGAAGACTAGCCCACTTTGCTAGTGTACACGTTAAAACTCTAATTTCAAACCTCGACTCGCATCGAGTATTTTCTTTAAATCAAATTAAAACACTTAATAACTACTTAAATATAATTTCAATAAAAGATGAAAAAGAGAGAGTTCCAAGTCTTTGGTTCTCTCTCCCAATTGTTTGGGTCTGAGAAGTCTTTCTTAAACTCGAACAATTGTCTTCTAAAAACGATAAACGAATTCAAACCTATTTTTCCTAAACACATAGATGAAAAAGAGAGAGCTCCAAGTCTTTGGTTCACTCTCTCGATTACTTAAGGTCCAAGAAGTCTTTCTTGAGCTTCGAGTAATTGTCATCTGACTAATACACTCTAATATTATTAAAAATCGTTCATAATATTAGATGAGAAAAGGAGAGAGTTCCAAGTCTTTGGTTCACTCTCCTGATTATTTGAGGTCCGAGAAGTCTTTCTTAAGCTTCGAGTAATCCTCATCTGTTAAAATATTTTAACCACATGCTATCTTTCAAGTGCCATTCATACAATTCCTTTTGCGATGAAAAAGAAAGTGTTCCAAGTCTTTGGTTCGCTTTCCCGATTATTTGGGTCTGAGAAGTCTTTCTCAAGCTTCGAGTAATCGTCATCCGATTCACTCACTCGTATCCAATTCCATCAACACTTAGATGAAAAAGAGAGAGCTCCAAGTCTTTGGTTCACTCTCCCGATTACTTGAGTCCGAGAAGTCTTTCTTAAGCTTCGAGTAATCGTCATCCGATTAATACACTCTAATCATACTAAACATCTTTCATAATATTAGATGAGAAAAGGAGAGAGTTCCAAGTCTTTGGTTCACTCTTCTGATTATTTGAGGTGCGAGAAGTCTTTCTTAAACTTTGAGTAATCCTCATCTGTTAAAATATTTTAACCACATCCCACTATTCAAAGCCTTCTAAACATAACCATTCTTTGGGATGAAAAAGAGAGAGCTCCAAGTATTTGGTTCACTCTCCCGATTACTTGGGTCCGAGAAGTCTTTCTTAAGCTTCGAGTAATCGTCATCCAATCCACTTACTTGAACCATCCACTTACTTGAACCGTACCCATTTCCTTCCTTTCTAGATGAAAAAGAGAGAGCTCCAAGTCTTTGGTTCACTCTCTCGATTATTTGGGTTCGAGAAGTCTTTCTTAAGCTTCAAGTAATCGTCATCCGATTAACCCACTCTTAACCGCATCCTATTCCTTCATATTTGAGGTTGAAAAAGAGAGAGCTCCAAGTCTTTGGTTCACTCTCCCGGTTACTTGGGCTCGAGAAGCCTTTCTTAAGCTTCAGGTAATCGTCACCTCTAACTAAGCATCAGATACATCTAACCAATCTAATTCCTCGCCCCGTGCGACCAAAACCCTAAAACCTATTCAAACCTATCTTCTTGTCTAAACCAAAATACTTAACCAATCAAACTCTATTCCTCGCCCCCGTGCGATCCACAACTTAAACAACTCTTCTCAAAGAACATTGTTTAGTCCATTCTTCCGCGCATAACAAGCTCGTGCTTCAGCCTCCCCTAGCGAGCAGACAAGCCAATGTTTAGCAGTTAGAATGCGACCTAAACTCTCGTTCAACTCATACCCACCTTTTACCAAGAACATTGTTTAGTCCCTTCTTCCACGCATAACAAACTCGTGCTTCAGCCTCCCCTAGCGAGCAGACAAGCCAACGTTTAGCAGTTAGAATGCAACCTAAACTCTCGTTCATTTCAAACACAAACCTTTTAGCAAACCGTAGTTAGCCGAACTACGGCTGCTCTGATCTCTCATATTTGTTGAGAGTACGTAGGCATAGGATTGCGATAATCCTAGCGAGCACAATTCCCAAACCTTTATCCGTAGTCCCACGAACTACGAATGCTCTGATTTTCCACATCTTACAAGTGAACATACGTAGGCACAAGGGCCCCAATCCTTGGCGAGCACCCTATCTTAATAATCACCCCCTTTTCCTATTAGCAAGCAAATCCCCTTAGAAGATACACAAACATAGTTAACTTTCTCTCGCGAATCGAATCAAGAGGTTCCCGTTGAGTACAACGGACGTAGAGGGTGCTAATACCTTCCCTCTATGTAATCGACTCCCGAACCTAGAATATTGGTTGCGATGACCATGTTCTTATCTCTTTAGAGGTTTTATCGATATTTTCCTATTCCATCCTTGGAATGAATAAAGTTCGGTGGCGACTCTGTTTCGAACAGTATTTTCCGCGGCCATCGCGAGGATCGTATTTTTCGAGGTACGACAGATCCTAGTCCCTTTAATGCTACCTTCATTGCTTTAATTTCGAACTGCAAAAATCCTTTTTCTCCAAAGGATTTTCGTCCCATCATCTTGTGTAATGTGATCATAAAGATTGTGACAAAGACATTTGCGAACAGATTGAAGAAAATTCTTCCAGGGATGGCTTCCTCTAAGCTTTTATGTAGAGTGCTTTTGTGCAAGGCTGGCTTATAACGGACAACACCATTATCACTGTGGAGTGTTTTCATTAGCTAAAAAAGAAAAAGAAAGGAAGGAAAGGTGTAATAGCCTTAAAGTTAGACATGTTTAAGGCCTACGATAGGCTCGAGTGGTGTTTTATCTATAGGCTTTTCTAAGCCTTTTGCTGATCTTATTTACAGATGCATATCCACGGTGTCATACCAAATCCTTTTAAATGACCAACCGTCGCAAAGTTTCAGTGTTGAGAAGGGTCTCTGTCAAAGAGATTCGCTCTCCCTTACTTGTTTATACTTTATGCTAATGTGTTTTAGGGTTTAGGGTTTAGGGTTTAGGGTTCAGCAAGTTCATATTCACTCTAAGTACTTAGAGCTGCTGGTGGTTTTTGAGAGGTTTAAAAAAGAAGTCTTCGCAATGGTGAAAGAAAAGATGAAGAAGATTAATAGGTGGAATGAGAAATATCTAACTAGAGTTGGTAAGGAAGTCCTGGTCAAGGCCATTGCGCAAGCAATACCCTGCTATGTCATGAGCTACTACAAACTTCCCATTAAGGAGATTAAGGCAATGCCCACTAGTTTAAGGTAGGGAGTCGAGGAATGGAAGATGAAAATTCATAGGATTTATTGGGAAAAGCTGGCTTGTGCAAAAAAGGAAGGTGGAATAGGATTCCATGGCATTAGTGATTTCAATTGTCTTAAAATATGCATTATTGGAGGATTCTTAATGACAAGTCGTCTTTGCTTAGCAAAGTTCTTAAAGGGAAGTACTTCCCTCGTTGCTCCATAGCTGAGGCATCAATGGGACACTCTCCTAGCTTTGTGTGGAGAAGTATCCTAGGGTATAGGGAGACGTTTGAAAATGGTACGTGATAGAGGATGGAGTGACACCTAGTTCCCAACTAATGTAGGCTTTATAACTTGGAACGCTCCCCTTGCGTCCCATCCTCTGACACTGTTTCTGTTAATAATCTTATTGATGAAGATTTGTGTTGTTGGAATTTTGATAAGCTCGCCTCTTTGTTGCATCTTGAGGATGTGAAGCACATAAAAAACATTCCCCTCTCACGAAGATTCCCTCCTAATAATCGTATCTGGCATTTTGAAAACAATGACAACTTTTGTGCATTCGACTTAACATTTCATGAAAAAAACCGATTTTTTGTTTCACTCTATGGAAAGAAAACGTTTACTTTTGGCTATATAATTTGTGACCAAGATAGGAATGTTATTGTGGCTCCGTCCGTAAAAATCTTGTCAATTAGGTAGTGCTTAAATTTGTTAAATTCTTTAAAGTTTGATAAAATTCTTTTACTATCTAATTCAACCCTTGCAATCTGTAATTCTCTAATAGAGATAACTAATTTAGAACTTAAAATAGACAGCACAGACTAATTAAATAGTTCTTCTGTAACTTTAATTTCAGTATTAGTAGGAATCTATGGAATCCAGAACCTAATTTGGGGATTTCTCCGATTGAAATGCCGTCTCTTTTTCTGGTGCCCGTGAGGCCTAATAAATTGTATAATTATTCAATTGACCAAAAACAATCTCCCAATCAATAACAAGGGGAATGTGAACATACAATTTTCAAAGTCAACTTATTTCTTTTATTTCTATCGACGGTCTATCTAAACTATATTTCTTAATTTTTCAGTAACATAATTTTTCAACTTTATCTCTTTATTTTTCGGTCACGTATATATGACTCCACTATATTTTTAGCCTTTTTCCTTTTGCTTTTATAACTACTATTTAACTAATAGTAAAAACTTTTAACAAATTATAATTCGCCACAATTATTTAATAACACAATTCTTTAGTCTTGTTTTTGTTTTGAAACAAAAATTCCAATCTAAAACTCTTCCAAAAATATAGTCAAGTCACTTTCGTTCTAAGTTTTGCTGACTCCCACATGATTCTACAATTCTAATGTACTTGGAACAAAAACAAATCATTTTTTGAAAGGTTTGAAAATATTTCAATATAGTTGTATAAACACAGAAATGTATGAAAAATTGCATAGGCATTAAAAACTCCCAGACATGGGTGAGCGATATTAACGCGGAAAACAACGATACAATTAATAAAAGACTTTCACACTAATCAAACACGAGTTCCTAAATGGAAGCTTTCATCTAATTCATATATAACATTCAAAAGATCTAAGGATAATAAACCAAAAAATAAACCCAAAAGAGTACTGTTTTCTTAAGATAACAAAATGTAGGAACATCAGAACGCATACGCCTAAAAAGACAGATACAGAAAAACTTCAGTTCCAATTTTTATCGGCAACGTACAGCACTGAAATCGCTATAGAATAAGCAAATCAGAGACTCTAAATTGTTGCCTAGTAATTCTGAAGAGAAATTACAATGTTTGAGAAAATCAAAATAGAAAAAGCTAGGTTAAAAGCCTCAGATTCAAAATTTGGTTTCTCAATCAAAGAACTCTCAGATGGTACGGACAAATTTCACACATCACAGGCAAATAGAAAAATATGAAACTGGAAAACGAAAACAAATGTAGGTCGTTACCAGGCCCTCAAATCAAATCAGGAATCAGAGAGAGCAGACATGCGGACCTTCCGAAATCAATTTGCGTGCACACAACCATGATTCCTTCATTTTCAAATTCCAGATCATCGGCTTATTGTGCACGCATCCATGAATGCTTCTAAATTATCAACATAATCATAGCATGCAGCTGAAATAAAAATAAAAGAAAACAGGGCAAGAAATTAGAGCCTAAGATGTGAAGAAGGTCTGAGAAAATACGTGGCTGCTGGCAATAATTGTGGTGTTGAGACGGTGTATTTATAAACGGAAGAGAACATTCTAGGGTTTGCTGATTTCTTAGGGCAATTGAAAGGATCAAAAGTCAAGTTTGGGCTTGTTGTTTTCTGGGTTTGGGCCTTAGGATATTTGGTCCAATGAAAAATGATATGTTACTTGCACCAGTCTTTTTCACATTCTCGCTGTTAAGTTGTTTTTCACTCCCATCCCACCCTTTCACGATTTTCTTCTTGAAAACATCTCAACTAGCTCAACTATACCATTTTTCATTATCACGAGTTATCCCTAGCTCAACTATACCATTTTTCATTATCACAAAGTTTAGTATTTTATAATATAAATTAGTCACTCTTATTTTGCCTAAATAAAATTGTCTACAAACGTATTTTTGTATAAATGTTGTCATCCTTAAAAATCAACAGCAATTTCTTGTTAATGGATGAGTGAATGCAACTAGAGATTACATCTATTTTCCTGCATTCACAAAACAAATTCTTTTAGTGTAATGACTTTTGTTTATCGATTGTGCAGTGATCCTAATTTATGGTTTTCTTTAATGTCATTTGGTTTTGAAAACACCTTTGTACATTATTTCTTATGCTAATCTATTTAATTGTAGGCAATTTAAAGATATTTATTTTAATTATATTTAAGAAATTAATTAGAATTTGTAGTACCCATAGTTAATCTATAAGTGAAACATTGTTTATATTTTAACTTTGAGTTACTGTGCTTTTTTTTTTTTTTCCGTACTCTTTGGTTGAATTTATTTTAATATATACATTAGAATGTTCCAAATTAAATATCTTACAAAGGTCGAAAATGTTGATCTAAACTAGAATGAGAGTTATTAAGTGTGACAACATCATACAAAATCTTTAATTATATGAGTGAATATTTAAATGAAGAAAGTGCTAAAAAGGATTAAAGAAAATACTATAATTTTTTTTTATAGGAGTGGAGGACTTGGATGTAGGAGTAGTATACCGCCACCCACTAGGCACCTCAACAATTATAAGAAATAGGAAAGATTCTTCGGGTCAAAGACATGAGTAAGGAGAAAATCTAAAATTTGGCTTCTTAAGAAAAATCATCATCGATTACATTTAATGTAATTCACGTGTTTTTCAATTGATGATTTGATTTTTCTTAGTTGACTGACGTTTGATTGCCTTATATTGATTTTTCATTGCATAACTTCCAAATGACCAAAATACCCCTGTCTTGTTCAAACCATGAGTTGAGTTCTACAAATCCTATCAAGGATTTCTAGTACTCTCTAGAAAGCTAAGAAGATGCTCTTCAACATTCATGTTGACCAAGAAATCATAGGAATCGTCCTACTAGGGCAAAAGTTGTCTGCAAGTTGGGTGACTTTCAAGGACCCAGATTCACACACCTCAGCTGACCTGTAATTTGTCAAAACCATAACTTGAGCTCTGCAACTCCTATCAAGGACTTCTACCACTCAAATTAAAGCTAAGAACAAGCTCTACAATATTCATGTTGTGGGGAAGATGAGATATCAATCACATCTTGAGCTAAAACTGCCTGGAAGATAGGGATCAAATTAGGGTTTCTTCACTGTCAATCCTTGGAAACCCTAACTCAAAACTTCTCAAACTCCTCAATCATGATGAGTTGGTCTAGGAATCATCTTTATAACATCTCCATACATCATTCCATGATCTCATGGCCCTTGGATTAGGTCTCAACCTTCTCCAAATCTTCAGCTGATCTAGGATTGACCCAGTCAAAACCCTAATTCCACCATTCATGGTTGAATCTTCTGAATCCTTGCATAATGACCTCTCTGGGCTTTATGATGACTTTCAAGACATCCCATAGGCTTTCTCAAAGCTTCAAATTCATTCTCAAAGTCTCAGAATCATCTGAGGAGCTCCCATAACTCTCAAGCTCTGAGGCACACAACTCTGGTTTCAACTAATTTCTCTGAGGATCTCTTGAACTTTCTGATGAAGGTATCAACTTTCAAACATTTGATGGGTAAATAAATGTTGGTCAAATTTTGGGGTGCAACAGCTGCCCCTATTCAAACGGCTTGAACCTGACTGGGTGAGGAGCGAACGACTCTCAACCAATCAAGGTGCGAGACGATTGAATACCGGTAAACCCGAAAATTTGCCAACTGCACGAGCACACGATACTCTGCGGAGAACAAACCTTCGAACACTGCAACGCTAGCTGCCCTGCAACTAGCTGGAGACATACTGATCTGACATTGCCGTCAGTTATCCGCATTAAATTCTCCTGATATTGCCTTCAGACAACCACCACACCCAACTTCGCCGCGGGAAGACTAAACCATCTGACATACCCAACATCGCCGCTGGAAAACTGAATCTGACATCGCCGTCGGAAACAAACATCATTCTGAGAGACACTCGATATCGCCGTTGTACAAACATCATCTCTGCTGGGGATTTAAAGAGTCCGACCTCGTCGTCAAACAAACATTCAACCTCGCCGTCGAACACAATCATGATCTGACCTCGCCGTCAAAGCAAACATTCAACCTCGTCGTCGAACAAACATAATCTGTCCTCGCTGTCAAATCCAAACATTCAACCTCGCCGTCGAACAAACATAATCTGACCTTGGCGTCAAATCCAAGCATCCAACCTCGCCGCCGGAGAAAATACAACACTGAACAAATCTAACCTGGGGTTCACCCCTGGTAAAGTACACTTGCGTATTTGAAACTACTCCGCTGGAGATGAGAGACTCAACCAAGCCCGCTCTGATCTGGGGTTCACCCTCAGAACCATAACGAACATCCGAATACTACGACACACTGCCCACCGTAGAACTTCAACATCAAAGCTATATGAAAGCCTGGCCCTTGGCCACTTCCAGCTTCAGCTAGAAAAGCTCTTCACGCATTTATGAAGATAAGCATCCTTGGCCTCCAAGGATGGCAACTCTGCAGGAGGTATCTTCGACTTCAGTCTGAAGAAAATGGTCCTTGGCCTTCAAGGATCCATGGACCTGCCTTCAGGCAACTCCGCCTCTGCTATAGAGTATCCGAGACTTCAGTCAGGGATATACTTCGGC